CGTCAGAGGGTAAAGCATATACTCTGGCAAATGACTAATGTTATCAAGACTACGTCGGAGAGTTGACCAGCCTGCGACTCCGTAGCATATCTAGCCCACACCTGCCTCGCTTCCACGTGCCCTGCTTGAGCGCTCTTGATTTCTGTCCAAGATTGCCGAGAGGATACTACAGATGTCACTGCTTCGGTAAAGGCTACGCGCAAACTCCAGAAGTCGTCCGAAGGGTCCCTGAAACGACACAATTACGTAGTTGTGGTACGCACTTCCGATATTAGCCATTTTGTCGATTCATGACGAGCGCCATCGTCGAGGCATCGGGCTCGAGGCGAAGGGCACATCCCCACTAGCTAATACGGCGACAGGTACACTTCGATTCGAACCTGGGATTCGGATTTCCTATACATGGGGTAACTCCGGTTCCCAGCCTACACATGAAACGTATTACTGACTTCATACAGTAAATTCCGCTCTAGGAGCGGCTGGTAAGTGGATCCATGAGGTTGCGGCGACAAAGTCCGCTGATCTGCACAAGCCTTACATGTCGAGCGCGCCGCGTCAAATGTCAGTGTCCTGCTTCCAGGCACTCCTTGCCGTACTGATAGTTCTCCCAGGTGACGAGACCCGTCCAGTATGCAAAGCATGCGGCAAGAAAAACCGTCCCTGTCAGTGGGAGGAGCCTCATACTAAGTTCAAAGACTACCGGCCTGACGGGCCCTCTTCCAGTCGATCTGCTGCCGGCGGTACTGATGAGGAAACCGAGATCAAAGAGGACATGATGGATGTTGACGGTGCCGATGGGGTCGATAACATCAGTCGAACAGAAGGAGCCGTTCGTGCAAACAGTTTCAGCGAGGAAGGCTTGAGCCGGAACACTTCACCGAGAAGGCGGAAAAACAGTCGGACCGATGGGACATCGGAAGGCCCATCGACCAGCGTCTCATCACCGTCGGCTCAGCTATCGCCAGGCTCGCCTTACTTTGTTCCCCGATCTAAGAGTACAACGGGTGGCGTGTCGGTGGCGAGTTTGCTGCAGTCGCACGACCCGGACGGCATGCCAGAGGGCTCGCTGCCGATGCATACCCGCCAGACCATGCAGCAGCCGAATGCGCATTCGCATAACCGTAGAGACATGCCAGATGGAACTAGAAACTACTCACCCCGGCCTGTTCCTTTGACGCATGAAGAGGCCTTGCTCGTGCACCACTACACCGAACATCTTGGCCGCTGGCTTGACTGCACCGACGCCACTCGTCAATTTACGCTGGGAGTACCGGAGAAGGTCAAACAATGCCCGGTACTTTGCCATGCTGTCATGTCATTTGCTGCTCGCCACTGCAGAAAAGATGCGACAGCTGAGGCGGCCTATCAGCGTTGCATCGCCCTGCTCATCGAACGATTGAATGAGCAAGCTGCTAGCCACGACGAAACGCTTTTGTGTGCGATCGTCATACTGCGATTCTACGAGCAGCTAAATGGTGCGTACTATAGTATGCATTATGCCTCTCATGCCTAACAGGTCCTTCTAGTCCCGTCCAGTACCGGTTCTGATGATGAACAGCACCTTGCAGGCTGTTCGGCCATTATTCGATCTTCCCAGGGAAATCACTATGTAGATCCCTCAGCGCCCACGTTGCGCGAAGCTGCTTTTTGGGTCTATGTCCGCCAGTGCCTCTACAATGCCACTATCAATCAGCAACCCCCCGATATCGATTTCTCTTTGCAGCTACACCCAACCCCAAGCTCACTACGAGATGCGCACCCGCTGGCTCGACTAAGGCTAGAGACGGCCTGGGCCAATCAAATGACTTGGAATCTTGCATGTGTCGTCAACTTCTGCTTCGACGGCAAGGAGCCACAAAACGAAAAGGCTTACAAGATGCGGCGATGGAACGAGCTGTGGGATCTTGTCCAGACATGGATGCATGGTAGACCGGAAGGTTTCAATGCAATTTTCGAAGGCCCAGCCGGCGATGGGGGCTGCTTTCCTGAGATTCTCTTCACAGCCGACTGGCACGGTAAGTTAGCCAACATGTCCTTCCACGCAAATGCTCACAATACCATCAGCTGTATCGTTCGGGTTCTATCATTTTGCCTGTATCATGCTGCTTCGATACAAGCCAGGCCCCAAGTTCGCAATCCGCAACGTCGGCAGCCTGTCTGAAACAGATGTAAGGACCAAAGTTACCAAACAGCACGAACATTTGCTTATTGAAGTAGAATCAGATTTTGACGCATGCTCGCGCCATTTCCGGGGCTAGTAATAGCTCACCGGAGACTGTCCCACTAGCAATCACCGTCTGTCACACCATCTTCATCTGGGGGCCTCTTGTATGCGACCCAAAAGAGAGAGATCAGGTAGTGCAGCTTTTAAACGACTTCGAGAAAAACCATGTGTGGCCGACGACGTGGATCAGTAACGCATTGAAGGCCGAATGGGGTATCCCAACACCCTCAGCTCCTGTGGCTTAGCTCATGAAGTAGAAACTCGAGCCACCATTGACTCTTGGCCTATGGAGCCAATTGCCAATGACTTCCCTCGGCCTACCCAAAATCAGCTTGGGTCAGTTGTGGAATAGGACCACAAGAAGAAGGTGGATGTGAAAGATGATGAAACCCATACAAGACATTTATTGTGCAAAACACAGCGCTCAGTGTCTGGAAGCCAGAACCGTCGTGTCTAAGTCATGCCCGCGAATTATCCTGGTACAATTCATACCAGCTCTGGGCGCCATGGCCAGCTGCATGTATCCCGTCACTTTGTCCCCTCTATGTAGCTCTAGCACTCGACGCAGAACTCCCATTCTCATGCGAGAACATGGATGTTCTCGCAGCCGGGGATCTTCCAGCAGTCAACCGAACTTGTGCAATCCGGGAAGATATACCTTCCGAGGATTGGGAGCTCGGGTAACAACTCCGAGTGAAATACATATAATGTCACCGCTACATTTTACTATACAGTAACAATGCCTCTCTTGGAGATAGTACTTTTTCGTGTACTGATCTCTGTTTTCACGTGCAATCATTCGCCTGAATGAATCTTTTTCAGATAATCTTACATCCAGGGCTGCAATTTTCGGCTCGGTTCACCGAAGATTGCCTGAGCTGTACGCATGTACCCGTGGCCGGTGGCCAGAAGGATGTGGAATCTGTTAGTGAAGCAAGCTGAAAGTCGTGTGTGGCGCAGCACATTTAGATCACTAAACTACCCGTTTCGTACGCTGCTGCCTGAGTTACCGTGATTACGCGCTTGATCACGATACCTGTGTTGAAAGCTTGCTAGACCACCCCTTGTAGTATCATAAATCGTACTGTTTGCCATAGTACGCGTCTTGTCGATTTTGGAAATTCAACAGATGCTCGCATTTCGTCCCAACATGCCACCACCAATTTGACCGTAACGCAGCTGGCTGAAGCCAAGACGAGAAGCTCTTTTTGCATCCGAAAGCCTCGCAACAAAGCACCGATATCTGGCAGCTGCGGTCTCTTATTGCACGTCTGGGAGCGCTACGTGAGTATCACCTAGATATTGCTGTGATGCATATGGCCTTGTGCAACGCGTTATACCTGCATTCCATCAATCCCTAGGTATGTAGCAGACCGGCAGTAAAGAACACAAAGCGCATTCTCCCGTGCGAAGTTGATTAGCACGTGCCTGGTTGCTGACTTGATATGTTGAAGGGATGACCGTTGAGCAGCTACGTCATTTCACGGCCGGATATCTGTCCCGGGCCAATCCCTTCGCGTAAGTCGTAACGAGGTGCCAGAGCCCGGTCACGGGAGTCTTGGTACATCAAGTCCTCATCGGGTCCGTTGAGATTTGCATAGCGCAACGCGGATACCCATCCATCCCACAGCGTACCTTTAGCATGCATTCCTCTCTGCAAAGCCCCTTATGGGGCGATAACCCGAGATGCCTTGGGTGACGCCTCAGTCGGACGCCACTGGACAAGTCCCCCCTTGCCTAGGTACCTCCGGGCCTCTACCATTTTATAATCTTCGCCTCCGGATGTGAAGCACTCATGTGTACTTCTTGACTGAACAACAGTCAAGCTTAGTATGCGTCGCAACGACTCAGCAACAGACCATGGAAGCCTACAAGTTCATACGAGAGAGACCATGAAGAGTGCATTGGACCTCCGCATTCTAGGGGTCTGTTGCGGAAGTGGGTTAAACCAGCTTGACTTCGCGCTGGTCCGGTATCTGCAAGCCTCCCCTAGTGCCACGCTGTATCTAGAACTCATCCAAGTCAGTGCTGTTCATACTGCCGCTCTGCAAATGCTGACGACCGATAGTGCGGTTCGCTACCTACCTCACCTCCCGTTCGAAACCATATCCTCACTTCCATCCGCGAAGTTGAGCGCAACTCCTCACTAGCGACACGCCTCAACGCGCTGCTCGGTTACTTGTTCTCCAATGGCATTACCACTTTCTGTGAGAAGTATTGCATACCACTCGCATCCATAAACCTGGTCGGCACACACACATCGGGCTTGAGGCGACCTGACATGCCCGAAACGAACGACCTGAGCACGCACCCGCTAGGATGGAACGCCAATATAAACACTGAGATTGGTGTCAACACTGTCTTCGACTTTGCTGTCATTGAAGCTGGGTCTTTGAGACCTCAAGCTTCCCCCGTCGCCTACATTGATCAACTCTTCTTAAGACACTCTTCCAAGTTTCGAGCTTGTCTGAATATCGGCGAGCTTGCGAATTGTAGCTTCATTCCTCCCCGGTCGAAGGGAGATGTTCGAGGGACAAATTGTCGCGACTGCGGGCCTGGAAGCGTATTCATTGACTACGCCATGAAGTACTGCACTTCAAACGATCAGAACAATGACAACGACGGGGAGTATGCAGCGCCGGGGAAGCCTAATCAAGCTATCGTCACACGGTTCCTCCAGACGCACGATTACTCTCGCGTCTTGCCTTCTTTAAGTATAGCCCGGGATATGTTTGGCGAACATGAAGCTCAACGAGTTGTTGATGAGTGCATCTTCATGAAACTCTCTGAAGCAGACACAATTGCTACTGTTACCCGTATAACGGCCGAGAATATCTTGAAGCAGTATCGCAGACTCCTCGCGCTCCGCTTTCCTGCCGGCCAGGACGTCGACGAACTCTTCATCAGTGGCCCGAGTGCGCGCAACGCGAACATCATAGACTACCTCGAAGCGGAGCTCCCCGAGAGAGTGATCACAAAGCCATTCGACGATATAGGCATACCAGGCGATGCGAACGAGGCCGTGTGTTATGCACACCTTGCATTGGAATCGGTGCTGGGACAACCAACACGCAGTTCTACGGAATTATCGCGGCCTTGGAGCCAGTCGGGTCATGATGCTGTACTGGGAAGGGTGGTGCGGGGCGAAAGTTGGGAAACCCTAACGGCCCAGCTGCAAAAGTTTGGCGATGGGAAGCCTCGCAATTTGGCGCAGAACGTGGAGATAATCAGCCATCGAGGATCTGGGAGTGAAATGATGGCACGAGCACGATGACGGAAAAACGGGGCGTTGACGGTTGGAAAGTAGATGATGGCAATGCCGTACTTGTTTTCTGGGGCAGAGCGGTGATGCGCTCTCTCCCGCGGAACTCCTCTTGAAGGCAATATTCTTACGTCACAGGGAGTATGGAGCTCGACGCACAACTCAGCGAGATGTTTGAACAGCCACGCGCACGTACACCTGTCAATCTGGTGACGTGCACTTTTACATTCCAGGTGTTTTTTTACGCGATGCTTTTGAAAACAGCTCAGCTTTGGCGTACCTAGGCAGCATACGGGTTCAGGCGTCAAATACAAGATTGCTCCTGACAAACATCTCTTTCGCAACTAGCATGGGATGCACATGCTAAATCATGTCTTTGATTTGCACTACATTTCCTCTAATATGTAACGCTGATCACGACGTCTAGATGTCCATTACCAGATCTCGTCGCACGGAAATTCGTGTCCTCGAATAAGCAAACCGTGTGCAATCGAATCGCATCCTTACATCCATCGCGATGTTGCGTGGTCATCGTTACAACACGATACGCAACCGGAAAATCATCTTGATACGGGGTAGTGAGCCAAGAAGTTTGCGTTGCACTTACGCTGCATGTACACCACGTCTTTCACCGGAGGCGAGCAGGAGCGACCCGCTTATCGTGCACCATGAGACTGCGCATCGAAGGCCCGATCATTCGATCGATTGTATCATTCAAATACCAATCATAGTGCGCGAAGCCGTGAGAAGAATAAACTGAACAGTTGTCTCGCTAATTACACAATCTACTGACCCCGTTGCTGAGCACTTGTGCTGCCTCAAGGGACTGCGGTTGCGGTGACAGTCTCGTTTTGTTTGCCTGCGATGATGTCGCGCATGATGCGCGCCTTCTGTTGCTCTTCCGCCTCACTGCTGACATCCTTGAAAACCTGGTCCATCTCCTCCAAAGTCTTGCCAGATGTCTCCGGGACTACGAAGAATGTGAAAACAAAGGCGAGTCCACAAAAGACGGCGAAGAAGGTGTAGGCTCCGTAGCCGGTGTTTTGAACAAGAGGAGGAGTAATCAACCCCTGGTATACAGGTCAGTCGCTAGTCACAGACAGTAAAGACGAAGGGAAGACTTACGATGATGAAGTTGTTGAACCAGTTGGAGCACGTTGAGAGTGCAACGCCCTTTGCTCGCAAGGAAGATGGGAAGATCTCCGAAGGCATAGCCCACGGGACGGGTCCCCAAGTAGCACCGAAGCTGAACATGTAGAAGAATAGGAAGGCAACGGCAACCCAGCCTTCCACTGCAAAGTCCAGCCATCGTCCACCAAACTTGCCAACCAAGACAGCGATGATGAGATGGCAGATAAACATGAGAGCAGCACCGGTGAGGAGTAGTGGCCGGCGCCCGAAGCGATCCATGGTCCATAGACTTGTTGCGACACCAACGAGCTGCGTGCAGTTGATGATGCCGGAAAGTAGAAGCTGCATCTCGTAGTCCTGGCCTAGTGTTTCGAAAAGAGAGGGCGAATAGTAGATCAACGCATTGATACCTAGAGTCGTGTTAGTATTTTCTCACGTCGGGGTAAGGAGGAACATACCAACAAACTGCTGGAAGAACATGATGCCAACTCCGACGACAGTGCGCTTCCAGCATCCATGTCTAAAGCAGTCGAGCCAAGACTGAACCTCAAGCTTGAACTCGTTCGTGCGAGTTTTGGCCTGTAACTCAGGGTGCCTCTCAACGCTCACTTCGTGGTTGAAGGTAACTTCTGCGCGGATTTCGCACCATTCTTGGAAGATGCGTGGATCGTCAGTGGGAAGCTTGCGGAGCTTGCCCAGCACGACTAGGGCTTCGTCGTCGCGGCCTTTGCTGGCGAGCCATCTTGGAGAGAAAGGCAGGAAAACAATGCCAGCACCCAGAATAAGACCAGGAATCATCTGGATAAGGAACGGGAGACGCCATGACCATTCGCCGGCCATGAAGCGTGTACCATAGGTTGTCCAAAAGGCGATCACGATGCCGAGGACGATGCTGAACTCCTGCAAGACGAGAAGAGCACCGCGGATCTCGGGTGGCGCAATCTCAGAGATGTAGAGTGGGGCGATAGTTGCAAGACTACGCGTGGTTAGCATCTATCCCGTGTACAAAAATGGCTCAACATACGCTCCAATTCCCCATCCTCCGATCAAACGTCCGACAGTCAACATGGCGTAGTTCATTGCTGCTGTTTGTAGAATGCTTCCGATCGTGAAGATGACGACTGCGACGACGATGGAATACTTCCTGGAAAGTTTGTCTGCAATCCAGCCGGCAAAAAGGGCACCGATCAGTGCGCCCAGTTCCAGCATAGCAGTCATCAGGCCCTTCCAGAAACCAGCTCCTGAAGCTTCACTCGAGACACGCGGAAACCGGTCGAGGAATTGATCCATGACGAGCGTTACGGAAATAACACCCTGATCGTATCCAAAGAGAAGACCTCCAATCGTAGCAAAGGCTGCACACATGGCAACGTAAGGGTTGGAGAAGAGGCCGCGGAAACCTGGCTCTGGGATTAGCCCACGTGTGATTGAGGTTCCACAAAGTGATATGCATACCTGCTGGTCCATAAGGCTCCCGAGTCACCGTTCCCTGTTTGCTAGGGAACGGAGACATTGCCTCGCGCTGCTCATAAGGGGCGCTCTTGATCGAATCTTGTCCACCCATGATGACGTGCAGTGATATGGGTCGTGTCTTGTTGAAATCGCCTGTGTAGTGGATGGCCTGGCTAGGAGGGAGTAGTGAATGCGAGGAGGCAATCGACCGCTTTATGCACTTTCGATATCTCGCTTGATGCCGCGTTAACTCTTGTCCGGTGGGTCCACACCATGTACAGTATCTGCCAACGCTAGTGTCAGGCGTCTGACTGCCGTTAAGCGCACATCCGATGACTTCCCAGAACGAACGCCAAGGAGTGTGGATGAAATACTAGGAACGACCGCGGCCGGTGTTTTCTGAAGCGACTTCACGTTAGCTCAGCTTCACATCTACCTCTTGCGACCTTCTGCCTGTCAGGTTCGTGGGTGACTTGAGATGCGAGCGCGGTGTGCGCATGTGGGGTTTGTGCTGTTGAGGCTACGCCGCTTGGATCGGAAGATTCGCTCGAAGTTTCTGTGGGACCCTTGCGTCCGAGACTGACCGAGCTGCTCTGCTACGGATCGTGAGAATCAGTAGCAATTGCATGATGAACGTCTTGATGCTAATCTTGAAATTACATCGCGTGACATTGGTCTCCGAATTTGCTTCTGAGAGACTGGCATTGGCTCCGCAAACCTTCAAAACCCCTGCTGCCGGCGTCATACGCCTTTCTCCGCATCTTCAAAGGCCGCGGTGACCGTATGGGGTGCTCGGAGACCCCAGAAAACGCGCGCGAGCGTGCCAGTGCTACCCCGGATTCCCCAAAATTAGGCTCGCGTCGTTCCGCGCTGTGCAGTTGTCCAGTTGGGTAAACGTCCTTTCAAAGCTGACCATCTCAAGGGAAAAGCTGCCGGCGAAAGTGGAGGTCGCGGCGGGAATTCCTGCTTCAAGCGAAGGTTAGTGGAAGCTAGGTGCTGGACTAACCCCGATCAGCATCGGAAGGAAAGAGTCGCCGACAAGTGGGCCGCGCTACTGAAGGGACAGTAATTCTAACCGCCGACCTGTCATCTTTCCGTTATCACGCACGACGTCACTACGTCTTTCGATCACTCATCAGCCCAGTTCCAGTACAAGACAGAAACGTGGGGTCTCCACATCCCCTCTTACCTGTTCATCTGGGGGAAAGTACGGCGACTGATGTCCGTGGTCTCCCCGGACACTGTAGAGCGGAAGCGGAGTGAACTCTTCTAACCCCTCCACCCAAGGAAGGATGTGATGCATGTCTCGTATGCACTGCACATTCAATGACAGCATTCAATAAGATTTCTGTGTCCCGATACATACTTCGCGGGACCAAGGGATCACATATAGGAACCGAAAGAACGAGCAGATGGTATTCCGTTTCATGCTTCCATTACAGCTGCTCTAACACACTACAAGGTACTTGTCCTACCCTGAAAAGCTCCAAAACATGACATTTCACCTCATCGATGTAGCCTCGCCATGCCCACAATCAGGCGCTTGTCTCCATGAAAGCCCACCCTCTCCCTCTTCATCAATATAGTAATGCGATGGGTGGTCGAGACGGGCGCGCCAGCACGAGGGCGTACAATTTGTCCTATGCGTCATCTCGCATCGTACAGCGCGATAGAATGCTGACGGCAGGTCCCTCAATTCCTGCACTAGTGGAATGCCATCCTGAGACAGCAATTGCTCAGGGTTAGGGAGAAGGTACGCGAACATATCCGCCAAAAGCGTACGCAGACGTGAATGAGAAACCGAAAACTTATACGTGAATAAGATGACATCGTCCAGCTCGAGGCGCCAATCATGGATATGCACATAGGTAAACGAATCCATGACATCGTTCATCCAAGCCCTGTCGTCGATCTGCTCGCCAAAAATGTATGCGCGAGCCAAGAACATGAGAACCTCGTCAGCGGTAGAAGGAGTGAGTCGACCAAGGGAAGCCATGGTAGGAAGCCTACCACGACCTAGCCACTCCACGTATTCTTTAACCACTCGGCTGGAGAATTGTTCGCCCACGAAGTGGGCCAATACTTTTCCAGAAGCTGAGTAGACGTTTCCAAGTCTAATGAAGTAATCCGTGTTCCTCGCCAGGGTGTGTTGGTAAGCCATTGCGGATCTGTCATACTGGTGATTTACAACCAGCTCTACAACTAAATCAGGGTCCGCTTGGATTGGGGTTGGTCGAGGTGTTCTGCGTTGATCTGGAGTCCATCGAGCCGGAGGCGTTGCAGGCACGTTGGATCTTCCGAGTGGTGTTCCGCTTGCTGAGCCATAAGTCGACCTAGCCGTGCCATGGTTGTTCCGCTCTGGGTCCAACGATCGCCGGTTCTGGCTAGACTGTGCGAGACCGTTAGACGGCGGTGCTGGCCGACCATAGGGAAAGCCGCTTCCCTGATCCTGCGTCCCGGTGGAAGCTGATGGCGTGGCGGAATTGGAAGGTCGTGGTGCTCGCCGGCCATGAGGGATCTCGATTTCTTGGTTCTGCGGCCCAGTGGAAGCTGACGGCGAAGCCGTAGACTTTTTCAAGATCCCTCGAAGAGGTGACTTCGCCCTACCATGAGACTTTGGTTCCGGGGCTGACGAACACGAAACTTGTGTCTGGGCGCCTTGGTTGCGGGTGATAGGTTCGGGTTTGGCCGGCGGCTGTGGCTCAACCCATGGCTCTGTCTGCGTGCCCTGGTCTCGAGTAGCGTTTTTGGGCTTTACTGGAGGCAGTGGAGGCGTCCATGGTTCCGTATTGGTGCCTTGATCTCGGGTAGGGTTCTTAGGCGTGACTGGGGGCAGCGGAGGTGTCCAGTGTTCTGTTTGGGTGCCTTGAACTTGAACAGAAGTCTTAGACTTGCTAGGCCGTTGTGACTGTGCCGGTAATTGTGTTTGAGCCTGAATAGGCGCCTCGGACTTGGGAGGCTGTGCCGGTGGTGGTGTCTGGGTGTGTTGAACCTGAGTGGGTGGCTTGGACTTGGGGGGCTGCTGCAACTGTGCCGGTGGTGGTGATTGGGTTTGTTGGACCTTAGTAGAGGACTGAGACTTGCTCGGCAGTTGTGGCTTATCGGCAAGGGGCCGTGCAGTCTCAGGCTGCTTTACCATTTCCTGAGTAGGTGGTACAAGTCGATCGTTGGGCTTCGGCTTTTGAGGCAATCCGGTCGACGCTCGTACTTTGTCTCCCTGATCTTCGGTAGGCTCACGGGTTTCTCCAAGCGGTTCTTTGCGAGGCGGCGGTGACAGCGCCCGATGAGCTTCGAGAGGAGCTGATGACTCGTCGCTAGAATTTCTAGGTGCTGCTTCATCCTTGACCTTTGGCCGGCACACAGCGTCATCAGCTGCAACGATCGTATCCTGCTTCTCCTCGCCATCTGTCGCTTTCACGTCTTCTTGTGATGTCTGTGTTTCGAGCGAAAGATGCTTGAGCTTATCGCCTAGATCATCTTGAAAGTTCGTGGTATCTTGGAGCTTCCCAGCATCTTGAGACTTCGCAACATCTGTGACGCCTTTCTCACCAAACGACCATGATTCAGTAGGGGCTCGGCTATTCGGAAGGGTATCACTAAAGACATCTCCAGCGTCTGACACGTTGCTTGCCTTCTTCTTTCGCGCTGACGGCGTCGTAGTCCAAGGTATCGCAGTGTCGGCGACATCGGGCTCTTGCTGTGGGAGCTCGTCCTGCGGCTCGTCGTTCTTAACTGGCTCAGTTTCAGTGATATCCTCTGCCTGTTCTGTAGTCGGAGTGGATTCGATGGGCTCTTCGGAAGTTTCGGCAACGTCATCCGGTTCGCGTGTCGCATCGTCTTCGGCATCATCACGATCCCAAGCTGAGGAAGAGTTAAGGTCCTCCAAGGTTCTGATCTTGTTCTCTTCTTGCTTGTCGCTCATGCCGCCCCGTCCCTTCTTTTTCTTGCTCGAACTGGCTACCCCATCGGCGCCGGAGGCGCCCTTCTTCTTATTCTTGCCTCCCATCTTTCTGATTGCTGATGTTTGCTTGGTGAAGGAGCTCAGGTGACTCTTGATGGAGTTTGATGGAAGTTTTGGTTGAGCGGAGCAGTGTAAAGAAGTGCAGTGTTGAGGTATTGAGTCGAGGGATCGGGGGTTTATATAGGCTAGGGGAGTGGCAGAACGACAGCTACTCAGTCGGTCGGCGCAAGTGCACGCACCTATTGGAGACAGCCACCGGGCACTGCGATACATTGTCCAGCGTGGTTGCGATAGCGGTGATGAGTGAAATACAACTGAAGTGAAAGACATTCACAATCGCGCATCGTAGCGTACGCTGAATATCTTCCAGGCATCGTCAAACCTCTAATGTATAACCTTTTGTAGTGGGACGCACCGAACTTCATGGCGTGGTTCAAAATATCAGAACATTTAGAAGAGTATATACTGCTGCATACTATGAAACAAGGTGTTTAGGAAATACACCCGCATTGCAATTATATACTGTGTTACTTAACTGCGTTGTGCCCGCCTTCATGCACCAGACGTTCAACAAAGCAACAATCTTTTGTATGCAAACGAGGAAGCCTGCTAGTGTAGTTTGTATCGTGAGGAAAGTCTTCATTGACGAATCGAACTTTGAAAAGGCCGCAGTGCCGCACGATGAGCTCCCTCCTATTGTTGGAGAGAAGACACCTCGTACCAAAGACGCGCACATGCTGTGAGCACATGCAGATCCCATTGTAAGGTAAAACTTAAACAGGGCTGCAGGATACGTTGAAGCAACACTATACAAAGTAGGCAATCTAACGTTGACGTAGGTTCTACGCGACCTTGTCCTATGAGAGGGACGGAGGTTAGTGTCACATAGTTTCTCTTGCCTGAATAGTGTACAGCAGGAAAGTCGCCACCCTTTAGTCGCTGATGGTGTTGTCATCGGTGAATGGCGTAAACCAATTTTGTATGCTAGTAACATGTTCAAACATATCTGCGGTGGCGAGAGAAGTTGTGAGTCCACGGATTGCTGCGAGGTCGGCTAGAGTGAATTAGATTTGCGATAGCGCACGAACGAATACAAACTGGTAGCAGAACATACATTTCTCAGACTTCGTTCAGCATAGGCCAATAACCTTCCGTGTACTCGTCCCATGGGCGCGAAAGTTTCTGTATCGAATTTATCCTCGGTATCGCATCCAAAACGTCCACCAATGCTTCGCGAGGCAAGCGATTGAAGTCTGGCCTTCGATCCTCGTCCTGAAGGGTAGCATATGCACACATGTCCGCGGCTAACGCCCTGATGGGCGAGCTTTCGGGTGTGCCACGGTAAAGAACACGTATAGCCTCCTCAGAAGGAAAATCTGGTATACAGAGAATTCTCCGGTCCGGTGGCTTATCTGCGACATCCTAACTATCGTTTTGAATACCAGCCATGGTGTTGAGAACAGTCTGCTGGTAATGTCGGTCCAGTATCTGCTCACCAAACACGTATGCGGTCGCAAGGTCGATCCAAACTGGATTGTTCTCCTCTTGATCATGGAAGGTTCGACAGAGATCGAAGCACCTGGCTGGCACTTTTCCAGAGTACAACCAGTGTGCGTAGGTTTCAACATCTTTTACTGTGTAAGCGGGTAGCTCAATATGATCCGGCCTCTCCCGCATGGCCGCCCATTCAGGCTTCAGGGCTCGGGCGAAGAATTCAGAAGTTCTTGTAAGGATATCTTGATGGACTTGGATCGACACGGCCTCATGCGCTGGTCCGATCACGAGCGTGATCATGGGTCCTCTCAGACTAGGCCATACTAGTTAGTTCTGTCTACGCATCCCTTTACAGACCAACTTACCGGAAAGTCTTCGAGGCTTGAATGCGCGCGTTCGTAGGCTGTGAGAGACCATTGCCGCTTGTGATTCCGATGTCGTCATACGAGTCTGACTGGACACTTTCGTCATCATCATCGGTGTGATCTTGCACCATGCTTTCGGCTTCGTCAGTCAAATCCATGGCTTTTTTTACATCCTGAAGGTGATGGCCTGGCGTATCGTTGCTGGTACAATGCGAAGTGTGGAATTGCGCGGGGACTAGGGAAAGAACGCCATTGAGTAAGCGAGGACCTGGTGGGCGCAGCCTTCACCAGGGGCGGCAACAATTTGTGTCGCATCCTCAAAAAAGTTGTTAGGGCTATTTTCTTACTAGAAGTGTACATTGTCCTGGACATTCTATACCCACTGAGTTATAATAGTATGTATGTAGCAAAACCCGGAAATGCAACACAAAATTATTACCACCTCTCGTGCCGTTGCGCGTGTAGAAAACTATGTAGTCAACTCTATGGACAGCTAGTACTTGTTCAAGCATACATCAAGAGGCAATAGGGCAGAACAAAGCAAACGACAGTGGTGCGTTAACAAGCCTATTCTTCGTATACCGGTGGCTTGCTATCTCATCGCCACGTCTTATCACGTGATGCACCAATGTATCAAAAAGTAAATGAGCAAAAGCAAAGCGGAGGATAGTAAGCAAGCCGGGCCAGGAAGGATTGTATGCTGAGAAAATAGCAGCGCGAGGTGGTGGTGCTTTTGGAAAGTGCAAAAGGAGTCCTGGGGTATTGACCTTCTGAGAAGATGGACGTTTGTTGCGAACCTTAAAGTATTATTATTGTTTGTGTTTGTGAAGCGCAGTAAGCGGTAATTGTTACAAGATTACAAGTCCTTAGTGTCGTGGTGGTGCAAAAAGTTGGGCGGTTGGGTGGCCCCAAAACTCCACCATTTCACCCTCAACCTCAACCACAACCGCGCAAAAAAGATGCCACTCTCTCCAGGCATTGAATACAACGTCGCGGACAAGATTCGAACTTTCGACTCTGTTAGATGGGGCTCTGATGTGTGGTTTGGGTATATGTACCTTGCGAGGCCGAAGCCATTAGATGACTGAATGAAGAATTCAAGTCTAACCCATTAACCACTCTGGCACCGCGACTGATGGTTTGATAAGGAATTCTGGATCTAATCCATCTATGATTACGGCGCGTTGTGCTAGATTCGCACTACGGAATGATTTGGGTCATCGTACATGAACTTGGGCGTGGTGGGGCGCAGTTAAGTCACTTGGGCGCTTATTAGAATTTAGCCATGTCAAACTATGTGTCATTGGAACATCTAAAGACTACTCTTCCCACTAAGTACCCACAGTTTGTCACCGCCCACCTTGCCTTCCTGCTTCAGCTTGTCGAGAATCTGGCAAATACCCCTCTCTGCCGGTTCCCAAAGGTTCTCTGGATACTCCTTGTAGATTACTTTTACAATATCCATAGAACCCATGCCTTGACTCTCCGCAAGTACATCCAACACCTGTTTCTCACGCTGCTTGCGATGTTTTATATACTCAGTGATTTTTGATGGACCATCTTCGATGACAGGCCCATGACCGGGATATGCGCGACCCCTGAACTGCGTCGACATGGCGTCGAGGCTCTTCATGTACGCTGCCAGATCTTCGAATACGGCTGTGCCCTGACCCAATACGTTGTCCGCCGTGAACATGGCATCTTCTTCCTCCAACACGAAAGCCGTGTGGTCTGTGGTATGTCCCGGGCAGAAGAAGGCACGTAGGGTCGCGCCTTCCGTCTCAAACTTCTGCCCATCACTTATCGCAAGCCAGTCGTCGTGCGGATCGTTCTTGTAGATCTTCGTCTCGGGAGAGTGCGCGAGTAGGTCGGGGACGCCTTGGATATGATCGTGGTGCCAGTGCGTCAATAGCACTTTATCGATGGCGATGTTCTCCTTTGAAAGGAGCGACTTGATCGTCGCTATCCACTGCGGTTTGCCTTCGCCAGTGTCAATGAGCAGTCGTGATGCGCCACGACCAACTATGTACGTGTTCGTGCCTAGTTTACTCAGAACATGTTAACCGTAAGATTGTTACCGCATGTACCTTGCAGCGTGAACTTAAGCTTTGTCAGATCGCGCCGTTCCTTAGATGATAACGGCGCTCACCTTGCTGGGGTTGCCGCCGAGGATCCTGATAACCCGATCGCTGATCTGCTCAACCTCTGGAAGCGATACCAAAGATTCTGCCATCTTTGAGTATAGTGCGCGTGTGCTAGAGGTAGCTGACGGCCATCGCAATCGCGGGCGCATGGTCGCTCTGACCTCAGGTTACAGCTGGACCAGCACAGCCGAGGCACACTGTTATCGATAGTGGGATACGACTCAACCAAACTATCACTTTTCAGGTACACTGTGCGGCAACCTGCCTTGGGCCAAACTCAACATGGCGTCGATAGCAGACGACGATGAGATACCGTAAGTCTTACTAGCTGATCGCAGCCCAAATGCTAACAAATGAAGACAGCTCTCCGGCGATGCTCTTGCCGCGCTGAAAGAATTTTATGGCGAGCGGGATGCACGACAAAAGCAGTTTGAGGAACTAAAAGGCCAAGCCGAAGATGATTTTGAAGGGAAGTTGTCCATGGACGCCTTCACGGAAGACTGGAATGCAAGTCAATTTTGGTATAGCGACGAGACCGCTATGGTGCTTGCGCGACAGCTTCTGGATGGTGCGACAGATGAGACAAGGATAGCAGTCGTGTCTGCTCCGAGTGCTTTCATCCAGCTGAAAAATCTACTGGTGAGTACTCTGGAAGCGCAAGACGAGAAAAACTGACCTTGTTAGAATTCGGGTGAAGTCAAGTGCCGGCCGCAGATTAAATTGCTGGAATTTGACGAGCGCTTTGCCGTCTTCAAGGAGTTCGTGCGCTACGACTTCGAGAAGGCGATGCAACTACCAGCTGAGATGAAGGCCTCGTTCGATGTCATCATTTGCGACCCGCCATTTCTAAGTCAAGATTGTCAAACTAAAGGTACTTTCATGATATGTCTCCAACAACCGTAGGTTCGATGTCGCTAACACGTCGTAGCTGCCTTGACCGTGCGATGGTTAGCTAAGTCATGGACGCAAGATTCTCTGCGTCTCATTGTCTGCACTGGCGAGCGTATGGAAAGCCTGGTCACAGACAAACTGTACGGGAAAGTAGGAACCAAGACGACTGATTACGAGATCAAGCACGCCAAAGGACTGAGCAACGAGTTCAGATGCTATGCGAACTTTGAGTGCCCATCGTGGAAGTGGGCAAAGTCATGACCCGCGAGAACATGGGGTAGCTATACTTGAGAGGATGAATGCTTCTACAACCAGTGCAGTAGTGTTCATGAGCATACGATCGTGATTGGAATATACATGCGAAGCACGGCGGAACCGTCCCGCCAAACAGCTACCCCACATGTCCCTCGGTCAACCCCACTTCGTTCTCAAGCATAAGCTCGCTGCGTCATCTTCATTCACCGACCAGACCCGTACCAACCAACCAACTATCCATTTCACGAGTACCACAATGTCCTCCGCTGCATGCATCTTCTGCAAGATCATCAAGGGTAACAACCTCTTAGCTTGGCTATCCTCTCAATCGACAATGGCTAACAGAAAGATCAGGCGAGATCCCTTCGATGAAGATCTTCGAGAGCGAGAAGACACTTGCTTTCCTTGACATCGGTCCTTTGAGCAAAGGCCACTCTGTATGCTTTCCAGTTCCTCCAGTATCGACCAGCCAAGACTAATGTGCCGCCTAGCTCATCATCCCCAAATACCACGGCGCAAAGCTCCACGACATTCCCGACGACCAGCTCGCCGAAGTCCTCTCCGTCACGAAGCGAATTGCTATCGCGCAGAACATCCAAGACTACAACATCCTACAGAACAATGGAAGGATTGCCCACCAGCTCGTGGATCACGTACACTTCCACCTGATTCCAAAGCCGAACCAACAGGAGGGTCTCGGGATTGAGTGGCCAACTAAGGAAGCGGACAAGAGCGAATTGAGCAAGCTGCTGGAGGAGATCAAGAGCAAGATGTGAAGCAGCGTGTATAGCACTCGTACAGGGCATCAATGAAGCATGTTGACTCAGGCCAGAGGCGCATATCTCAGCACTTGACCAGCGCCACTAACATTCGATTATTCTCCCTTGAACACGGGCTTTCTCTTCTCCTTGAACGCGACAAGCGCCTCGTCCCTATCATTTGTCCTGACCACAAGCTCGTATGCAGCATTCTCAGCCTTCTCGCCCAACGCGCATCCCTCAACCGCCTGAAGCGCGGCCTTGATCGCTATCGGTCCACCTTCACATATCTCCCTTGCTAGTCTAATCGCTTCGTTCAGGACCTTCTTCCGCGCAGCCCCTTCTTGTTGCACATCCTCTGCCGTGATCTCTACTAACCGGTCGCACAGCCCCAGGAAGTAGGCTTCTGGCGCGGCAACACGGCGGCCTGTCAAGATCATGTCTCGTGCGCGCGAGAGGCCGATCAAAGCGGGCAGACGATATGTTCCTCCCGCGCCAGGAAGGATGGCAAGACGCGTCTCGGGGAGGGCGACGGTCGTGGTGGACGCGAAGACACGCATGTGTGTGGTAAGGGCTAGCTCGAGGCCGCCGCCGAAAGCCGGTGCTGCCAAAGCAGAGATTGTGGGGATGGGTAATTGCGATATCGACGCGAATGTTCCTCGTAGTGTGGTTAAGAAGTTGGATGTGCTGCCATCCGTTAGCTGTCGCTCGTCTCATGTGACCGTTATGATACTAGACATACTCTTCCTGGGTAAACGTAGCCCTCTCCTTGAGGTCCGCGCCCGCGCAGAAACTTGTCTCTATATCGCTCGCCAAAATCAACGCCCGCGTTGATCCCTGGTCCCCCTCATTGTGTAGGCTGCTCACTTGTTGCGTCAGCTCTGTGAGCAGTTGCCGTGATATCGCATTGCGTGCCGCGGGCCGGTTGAGCGAGAGTATTCGTATGCTTCCGCAGTGTGGTGCTGGGACGTTTGTGACGTTTATAGCCGGGGCTTGGGCAGTCGCATAGCCGCGAATTCCAACGGCGCGGTGTAGGACGCGGGGGTTGAGGCGGAGGAGGGGCATTTCGATCGTATTTAGGATGTTTTTTGTGCGACTGCGATGGTTCCGTAGTCTTTCCGCCCAGAGATATTCAAGTCTGGAGCTGGAGCGTCGACGTTGTGCGCGGCATGTTTGGCGACCTCATCGCTGATAGACCGCAGTTAGCCGAGGCACCGCGACGGCACAGCTCTTGATCTGGTCCATCGTCATTCCTGGCGCGACATCAAACACTCAACCAGAGAACACGAGTCTGCCGGCACGATGAAGACCTGGTGCGCCTCTCACGCATTACACATTGATCGTTCCTGCGAGTGTTGCGGTATAATTCCGACAGTGCTTGACGTTCAGTCTTGTTCCTAGCTATATTCAGGCGCATGTATTCAACCTTTCAGTTCCGAAGACGGCTGGAGCAATCGACGTGCTTCTATACCATCCGCAAACCGGCATTGAGTCTTTGAATCTTTGTGAGCAGACCCAACATTATCAAGAGCAATATAGCCCTCACCTTCGCTTCCAGATTAGTCGAGACGTCTCGCCCATCACACATCATCAATCCAGACGACGATAGCAGCGACTTTCGCGTAACGAACTGAGTATGAGACAACTCCTTTCCGTTCTCTACTCCAGTTTCCCGTATAGCTGTTTTTGACCCAGACACATTGAGAAGGTATTGTTCCGATCGTTGTAGTTGATCGACCTGTTTGGAAATCCGAAGTCTACCCTGTACCTGGGTGGAAGAGAAGCATGCCGTCAGGGACGAAAGACATGCAGATGCAAGGCAAAGTCGAACAAACATTCGTGAAAGCCAGAGGTCCCCTGTCCTTCCATAGTGATGTCGCAGCTACACTACGGCCTTGTACAAGGTTAACCTTTGCTACTTTCTGCTAAGTGGAGACACTCTTGACTGAGCACAGCTCGAGAACAGAACCTGGGTACCAGCAACTGTCAGGTACAAAGCTATCGAATGTCAAATCTCGTAAATCACCGAGAAGTCATGAGTGCAAGCCCTGATCAGTTCGTGTCGCTGCTGAAGGGCTTGCACAGGGGGAAGGACATTCCCTGTATGGATGCCCGGTTATCCATCTGCGCATACTTACGAATCCAAGTCACGTTCTCATCCTGGTACTCGGAGCCCAGCTTCATACACACTCAACCAGTCTGTACTTCGTATTCTAGGCCCAGAGCCTCCCGCTGGGTCATCAACTCCTGCACTGTTACGTATGTAGTGCACCCTACATGGACACACCCGTAGACCTGGGCAATTTCGATGCAGCATCCGCACCTATGAACGGCTCTCGGCAACCGCGATGCGAGGTTTTTTATCATGTCAACAACTCGACCTGACGATCTAAGCCCGACTTGAGGCTCAACTTCGGCCCAGGACGTTTGCGGGGAAGTGACTTGTGGAGCTCCGGAGCGATCGCCATGTCACGATGCTGGGGTTCCCAAGGGTGCATTCCTTCTGCTGGCTTAGCGCCTACCGAATACCTCCACTGGGTCCGACGCTTGCTCCATGCACCGAAAATTTCTGTTACCCATGAGCCTCGTGACGATGCCTACCGATGCCTCTCGGGACTTTTCGTCGGCAACACACAATACCCAAGATCTCGCCCCGCTTTAGGATAAACAGACAAGCTTGGAGGCGTGGAGCTTAGTCGTGTACTGTCGTATTTCGCGCACTTCCCCATATGCGCGAGTCGTGATGGAAGGTGTACCGGTATTCTGCGGAGATTGTTTCGTGGAACGTTCTTCGATCAAACTGCCAGTACCAAAGCTGTGGTTCACGGCACGTGGATGTACACAGTAGCAGCATCATCCAGGATTCGTCCCCAGGAAGCTAACCCTGCCAGTTCGACTGCAGCAGCAATGCAAGGCGACTCTCAGTCGCGAGTCATGAGCCAACCTCACGATCCCCGCAAATCATCGCGAGTCAATGTTCCCGGCTCCGACCTCTTCGTTTTCTACTCCACAACCATCTGCCGACGCGCATGCACACGTCCGACCGCCCGCTTGGCAACCGCTACGCAGCCTTGAGATGACGTCGTGCGCCTTAATACCAGGACAACACTGGTATGGTACGGAGGTGTGGAGACTCCGCAACCCGCACGGGCAAACTTCGGGACATGGTGGTGGCTGCCACATCGGCTTCTAGCCTTTTGATCGGGACGAGGACTGCCACCGGGCGGACGAGTATGCGCCGAGAGAAGAGCAGTATATAAGTGCTGCTGTGCACAACGATGATGGTCATCCAGGCACTCGATTCACCCTCGACAATCCAGAATCATGGCACCTTCCCTTGTCTCGGCCGTACTTTCGGGCTCTGTCCTCCTGGCAGCAGTCAATGCTCAGAACTTCGAAGGCGGTGGCCGCGATGAAGATGCGTTTGAATACGTACAGCCGCTCAACACCACCATCTTGACCGAGTATGGCTCCTCACCAGCTGTCTACCCGTCGCGTAAGTTATCCTACATCACCAACCTCGCTCGTAACCAATCTAATGCTCTACAGCAAACATCACCGGCGCTGGTGGCTGGGAGATGGGTCTTGAGAAGGCGAAAGCTTTCGTAGCCCAGCTCACGCTCGAGGAGAAGGCTGACATGGTCACTGGCCAAGCCGGACCTTGCGTTGGCAACATTGTTGCTATCCCTCGTCTTGGTTTCCCCGGTCTGTGTCTTCAGGATGGTCCTCTTGGAATTCGTGTTGCAGACTACGCCAGCGTTTTCTCCGCTGGTGTCTCTGCCGGAGCCACATGGGACAAGGACATCATGTACGAGCGTGGTCATGCCATGGGCGCCGAGTTCAAGGCCAAGGGCTCCCAGGTCTTCTTGGGTCCCGTCGCTGGTCCTCTCGGACGTTCCGCCTATGCAGGCCGTAACTGGGAGGGATTCTCCTCTGACCCTTACCTCAGTGGTGTGGCAATGGAGGAGACCATCAACGGAATCCAGGATGCCGGTGTGCAAGCCTGCGCAAAGCACTGGATTGGCAATGAGCAAGAGATCATGCGAAACCCGCTCTACGAAGACGAGAACGACAACACCGAGCAGACTACGGCAGCTCTCTCTTCCAACATCGATGACCGCACCATGCACGAGCTTTACATGTGGCCTTTCGCCAATGCTGCCAAGGCCCGCGCTGCCAGCTTCATGTGCTCTTACCAGCGCATCAACGGCTCTTACGGATGCCAGAACTCCGCCTCGCAGAACGGTC